CAGCAGATTTCTTCGGATGCTGATCTTCGCTGCCAAGGGATCCAGTGGAGAGAGGCAGACTGGGGCAGTTAGGCTCTGACCCAGAGAAAATCACTGGCTGAGAGGTGAGGGGTCAGTGTACAGCCCCCGGGGGCAATGGGCATGATAGTGTGCAGAGGGCTGTTGCTCCAAGCTGTTGCCTCAGGGCATGACTTGCCTGAGGGAGCTGAAGGCAGGTGCCCAACGTGCTCTCACCCATGTGTGTGGCTCGTCACACTCTTGACTTGAAGTGTTTGTCTACCCCACTTGAGGTCAAACTGTAAAACTGGGTGCCAGGGCCTGAGTGATTGCTCTGCAACCTTTTCCAGTGGGTGTTCCCACAAAAAAAAGCACCAGAGACTAATGGACCTCTCTTTTCTTGCAGCTATTGAGCAGGAGAAGGAATGTGTGAAGTCTTCCTAGAGTGAGATGGCCTGGCAGGAAGAGCTACCACTTGATTTTTTTTTTTTTTTTTGCTTTGACTTAAATCATATGTTCTTTTTAAAATTTACATCTTGTACATGTATAGAAAACAGCTGCATCACCTAGCCCACTGTCCCACCTTGCTGGCAGTTTTGGTGGGTGAGGGGAACAAAGCGTGGCCCTCTCAGTCCATCAGTAGGTTGACCCAACCCCATCTTTGCTGCTCAGCTGACTCCTGTTGACAGTGTTGATCTTGCTGTAATGTGGTGGGGAGATGGGTAATGGCTATGGAGGCTCCTGGGGCCAGACCCCTTCTGCCTGGGGGAGTGGGGATCCTTTCTGGCCTGGGTCTGTCTTACATACTCTTCACTGATGGTGTTCTGTAGCCTCACAGTTTTGTCTTCCTTGGGGGGAAAAATTAGAGGTTTATTATAAAATAAAAAAATGTAATGACTTACCTGTGACTTGTCTTCTTCCCTGGCAAAGGTTCAGGCTGTAGCCTGGTTTCCCCTGGGGGGTGGGAAGGTCTCTGCCTGGTGTTGCAGCAGCACTGGTGGTTTGGTGTTGCTCCAAGGGCTATGTGGGATGGTTCCCTGTAGGGCGAGTCCAGCTTGGTGTTTGCGTAGGGCTCAGTTCCTGGTGGCTTGATGAACAGCAGAGCTGGGAGCATTGCCGGGCTGGGGACCAGCAATCCTACCAGTGTTGCAGTTTCTTGGTGCATCTCCAAGTAGAGGCTGACCTGGGCCCTCCTGCCCACCTGAATGCTGAGCCTCCTGCTTCAAAGAGGTTGGTGTCCCCTGCCTAAAACGTCACTTGTGGAGCTGGGCTGGCTCCTCACCTCCAGGGCAGGAGGTGCCTGTCCTGGCAATGCGGATGCTGGCCTGGGCCCTGTTGGTGCTGTGTCCAGGCTGGTTCTGCCTACCTGGTTCTCAGAGCAGAGGTCTCACCTTGCTGTCAGTCATAGACTTTGTCTTCATGTTGAGCCAGTGTCTGCCTCTACCCTTGGATGCAAGGAGATATTTGCAACCTTGTAAGGATGGATTAATGCAGTAGACCCCTTGAGTACCCTCTAGACTGATCCCAGCCCTGCTTTGCAGGAGTGGAGATCCCCATGTCCAGCACAGTGTGGGCAAGGGGGAGCTGTGGTCTTCTGATGCCTCCAGGTCTATGCTGAGGCTTAACTGGGTGCTGCCAGGATTTCCTCACCTCTGCTTGGCCTGCGGGGTCACTGAACAGGCTGCTCTCGGAGGAGGTGGAGGCAGACTTGCCAACTAACAGTTTTGGCCAATGTCCTTAGTGACAGCCTGGTTAGCTGGAAGCAAACACAGGGCTGTTGTGCCTGGCTGGACATGATGCCTACATGCCTAGTATCTCCACCCACACTGCCTGCCCAGGGCTGCAAATAACACTGATTGTTTGGCTGCAACTGCCTTCACCCTTAAAAAGAATAGAAAGAGCTGAAGGTAAGAGGTTGGTGTTTGTGTGCTGTCAGTGCAGCATGTGTGGTGAGGGCAGTGGGGAGGGATGCTGAGGCTTAGCTGGGGCTGCTGCCACACTGGGCTGAGCACTGGGAAGCTCATTACATGCCAGGGTGCCTGTGCCCCCTCAGCACCCTGAAGTCCCCAGGACAGCACCCTATCCTGGACATGAGAATCCTTTTCCCGGTGCCAACTGCCAGGGCAGGCTGCCAGGGTGGCAGCAGTTGCTCATCGCCCTGGCAAGGTTTGTCCCCTGCCAGGAGTGGTTTCTCTCACCAAGCAGGGGCAGGCTCAGCCCTGCACTGGGGAGGGGACAGGAGGCCTCTTCGGACCCTTCAGTGAAAGCAGAAGGTAGAAAAGGTCACTTCAGCAAGGGAGCATCAGGCAGGGCTCACAGACTGCTAAAGGTTAAGCACCTTTTCGCTGCTTCAGCTTTTCCCCCTCCTGCAGAGGCGGCTTTGCAATTCGTTGGCCACTCGATGCGCCCAAGAGGGCAGTTGGCTCAAACCCAGAGGTAAAGCCAGCCTGAACCCTTTCCCCAAAAGCACAAGTTGAACCAAGTGAAACTTTTGTGATGGAAATACAAAGTAGCAGAGCTGATCCCCTCTCCTCAGTGGGGTTTTTGGGGATAGGGAGGTCTCTGTGGCTGCCTGCAGCACGGCGGCTGCTCCCAGCACTACCCCAGTGTCTGTCTCTCCTGCACGCTCTCAGTCATCCTGCAATGGGCCACTCTGCAGCCATGCGAAACCACCAGTTGACTGATCTCTCCCTGAGTCACTCAGACTTCCGCAAGGTCACAGCAGGAGTGTCCCATTCCTAGAACCGTTGTGATGACAAAAACCTCCTCCTCACCCTGTGTTGCATATGCAGGCAGCAGAGACTTTGCCCAGAGGTGCCAGGCACCCCAGGTGCCTGCTGACTATGCGCCCCCTCTCTATGGGGCCAACTGATTTGCCAGCCAGGGCGAGGGCTGTGGCCTCCTAGCAGTTGCCCCAAATGGCAGAGCAGCTGGTGCCAGGAGCTGGCAACAATCCAGCATTCGCCTCGAGCCTGTGGAATCGGCCCATGGGACCACCTTGCTGTGGGGTGAGGACGGGGTGCTGATGCACCTGAGTTTGTGTTGCTTTTTCACTGTGGCTACCCTGGGGACACAGCAATGCTGATTTAGACACAGGGTTAAGTGCTGGCACAGCCAGGTCTGTGCCCTGAGTGAAGCCACTCCAGGTGCTGGTAGCCCCAGCCTGGCCCCAGGGACATTGGTTGGATCTGGGGGCAGCCCCCCAGCCCCAGCAAACCCATCTTGGTGGGTTATATGGCTGATGCGGCTGTGTCCACCCAAAATGGGGGCAGCCCAGGCACTGCTCCCACCCACGTACCTGCCAGAACAGTGCACAGGGAATTACTGGACACATTGCCCAAACCCTGTGTGTCCACAGATCTGAGGATAAAGAGAAAGCTGTTTTGCAGCGCAGTGCCCAAAATATCCCCGTTGCCAGCAGATTAGCCAGTAAGGGTAGAACCATTACAGAAAAGCCCTTTATATCAACACTTTCCCTCCCTCCCTGACCCAGACCTTCCCTTTTTCATCCCGGCATGCATGGGCACACAGCTGCCAGTGGTGTGGGTGGCCAGGGCAACTGCCAAGCTGATGTTCCCTAGAAACGTGGCAGCTTCAGCAGCATGGGCTGTCCCAGCAGACACCCATGCATGGAGGATGCCACCCCGGGAGCTGGGCCTTCCTGGCAGGGCTCGATGCCACCTTCTCTCGCTGGCCACCAAGTAAGTTATATATGTCAGCTCCTTCTGGCAACATCCATGCCTCTCATCGGCAGGGGGCCATCCTGCTGCTCCCAGGGCAGTTTCCTCCTGTCACTGGATCAGGTGGTGAGCTGTGGGCAGCGCTGTGGAGGAGGGAGGAGGAGGCTGAGTCACTAGCAGGAGGAATTTGGGCAAATACCTGGTGATCAGCAGCACAGGGTGAATTCAGATCAGGACTTGCAGCTGGGATGGGTGTCTGCCCCTGCTGCTGCTCCATCCCCTCTGACTCAGCTGGGAGAGGATTTGGCCCCATACAGGCTTGTGTGGACAACCATAATCCCATCTCTTGCAGGAGGTGCCTGAGTCAGCATGTGCATGGCCCTGCACCAGGCAACCCGGTGTCCCCCTCCTCCTGGCAGGGCACCCACTCTGCCAGGCTGCAGGACCCTCCAGCCATCCTGCAGCACCATGCTGGTTTGCAGCACCATGCTGGTTTGCAGCACGGATCGCCCAGTACAAGGGAGGCTTTTGGATGCTGGCAGCTGGGGTTTTCCCTTGGTTGCTCTCCATCTGGCAGCCCCCAGAGCTGTGTCAGAAAGTGGTGAGAGCTGAGAGGTAGCAGCGACCAGAGCCTGGGGCAACTCCCAGGTTTAGATGGCAGGAAATTGCCACCCTCAGCCCACGTGTCGTAGTCAGTCCAAGCACTTGCGTCAGCCTTTCCTCGCCAGGTCTTCCCTGCCCAGGTGGACGCACTGCCAAGCACAGAGCCTGCAGTGGCAGTGGTAGAGAGCGGGCAGCAAGCATGAGCTGGCAGGGAAAACCTCTGCTGGGAGTTGTTGAGGAAGATACGTGCATGTGTGCGTGCACAGGGACAGTTATATGTTCAGCTGCAAAAGGGGAAAGCAGAAGAGACTGAGTAGTAACGGGAAAATGAAATTGTTGTGCAAGCTGGTGACCATGGTCCTTTGGGAATGGAGCTGATGGGATGCCTCCACCAGGTGGGAGAGTGTGTGTGATGTGGGTCAGACCATCCCCTGGAGACAGTGACACAGGGGGAGAATAAACAAACAAGCTGTCCCAATCCTGTGGCAGGGAGCAGTGCTGTACCAGAGAATGGCTACGGGACAGGAAAGCCACTGTCCCTGACTAGGGACCAGCACAGCGAGCCAGGTGCCTCCGGACACCCGCAGTGGTAAACTCACCTGCAGGCTGTGTGGTGGCCAGCAGAGCTGGGCTGCCACACTCAGCACACCCCAGCACCTTCCCCAGCAGCACAGAAGTTATTGCTGCTCTTGAAATAATGCCCAGGAGGTCAGGTTTACCAGCAGGAGCTTACTCATCCCCAGGGCTCAGCACGAGTAATAATGAACCAGGAGTGCTCAGAGCTTCCTGCCCTCTCCTCCAGAGCCCTGGTGAAGACTGAGCTCCTGCCAGCACCCAGGTCTAAATAAAGCTGGGGAGTTATGCACTGAGCCACCCCACACCCTGCCATGCTCCCTGCATTTGTTCAGGTTGTTGCTGGAACAGGGCACAGGTGGGAGCAACTTTGCCACGTCTTCGCCAAGTGGCATACATGTTGCTGGTGCCTGCGGGTGCCAAGCTCTTCAGTGGCTCAGAGCCTGCTCCCAAGAGCAGGAAGAATTACTTACCCACTTCTGGCCCCCCGAGTTGCATTCTGCAGATTCCCGTGGGCCCGTGGGGCCATGCCGGGAGCTGCAGGAACATGTGCTCCTGCTGGGGACACAGATCTGGTGTCAAGCGGCAGTGCCTGCATTTGTGCCCAAGCCAGGGCAGCTGATGGCGGAGA